TTCAGCCGTTGTACGCTCCGGCCTTCTTCAAGTGGTTGGAATGTCGAACTGAACCTTTTGCATTGCTCACTGGGGTAGACTGTTCTAGTTCAATTGCCATCTCAGTTATCTCCTGTTAATTCCCCACTCAAAGTTCTCCACCGGGTATTGAACTCACACTTTTGGGTCCTGTTACTGGATCTAACGCCTTTATCCACTGTGCCATGTGTCCCTAAACAATGTGTTCAGTTCGATATTCCATATGTGTGTGTGTTTATATATATATATATATATATATATATATATATATATATATATATATATATATATATATATATATATATATATATATATATATATATATATATATATATATATATATTAAAACGTAGGAATTTATGTATACCATGATTCACGCTAGAATGCATTGATTGATTTTTTGATTTGTCATTACGACTGATCAACTTTTGAATGTTTAAATAACATTCAAATTACATATATAATTTGCATAAATGGTTTAGTTCAAAGTTCCACGAAGGTTACCCGAATTAACGATGAAGAACAATGTCGAGCCGAACTGTCGAAACAATGCGATAATAAAAAGAAAAACAAGGAAAATCGTCCACATGTAAATGACAAAAATAAATGACATCACCTAATTTCGGAAATTCAGAAAAAAAAAAAAGATTACTTTGTCGAAGAATAAGTCATTTAGATGCCAGACAATTTATCTGTCTGTACAAACCAGTTCAGTATATTTAGTGGGTAAAGTTATAAATGTCTACGTAAAATGTAAATACAGATCCAACCAGATGGAGAGTCCTAAACACAGACTCACATACAAAATAAAGGCAAAGATATATACAGGAATCCCTTGATTAATGCAGCTAATATCTAGATTAAAAGATACGCATTAATCGAATATAATAACTTATAGGAAATGGTGTAATTTAAATTTTAGTCTCATTCACAAATAATTTCTAATTTACGTACTTTGTCATTAAAATATACGTACAGATGCAATAAAAATGCTATGAATTAATGCTTATTAATCTGATTTTTTTTATGAAAAACCTATTTAAAGATGTATGTTGCATAGTATTCTTCTTTTCTTCATATAATTGGCAGTACTGAGAAATTGCCCATTCAAATTTTCAAAACAGATCATTATCATTAGTATTTTCACCTAAAAATTTTATTTATAATCTTTCCATAGTAAATGCATACATCTTTTATATTTCGACATTTTTTAATGAATGTAAATTTCTGCATTTAGTTAAATCGTCCATTTTTTTAACAAAAAAATCAGAAATTTCATTTTAAGACCTTCGAAATAAACATGAAAAACACCCAAAATATTCAAAAAATTCAATAGAGACCCATATTCAAATATGTATTTTCATTATCAGTTTATATTCTAAAAATTATCTATTTATTTTTTAACACTACTGTAATTACTAAGACAGCGTAATACTTGACAAACAAAATAGTTACCCATTTTTCATTCTTAAATTTCAGAAAACTTTAATTAATCATTAACTATAAAAATCAATTTTGAATTACATTGGTTAAACTGAAGAATATTCTAGCATACTAATCGAGTATTATGTTGGGCAATAATCGAATTTTGGTATATAAAAATTTTTAAATTAAAAAAAATGAACCGATTTCATAACGCATTGCTTCAGTTCTCAAACATCATGGAATGAGTCAGTGTCAATTTTAAAGAGGAGTTTTCTAGGTTTTGAATGGCTCCCACAGAGGCGATGTAATTGTGTCGTATCTACGGCAACGTTCAGTTGTTTGGCGAGTCCTGAGCAAAAGGTATTTGCGTTCTCGAATTTACGAAAACAAATACGGTGGTCACGGGGAAGCGTGCTTTTCGGAGGCAATTTGATATTAACCCTCCCTCTCCTAAGAACATTCACCGGCGGTTTAAACAGTTTTATGAGAGTGGGTGTCTGTGTAATGGAAAAAAGGCCAGGACGATCAAGAATTTCAGAAAAACAAGTGGCGAGAATCCGTGCTGCGTTTGACGGGAGTCCACGGAAGTCCACAAATCGAGCTAGCAGTGAGCTTGAGATCTCTCAACCCACTATCTGGCAACTGCTAAGAAGACGTCTACATCTGAAACATTACAGTCTACGTGTCATTCAGGCATTTACCAAGACCTTGCTCATTGCGCTTGGCCTGTGAGATCCCTATGCCTCGCCGTGTGAGGTTTTATGTTCCACCGATACCTACCCACTAACCTCGATGGCCTTAAACATCGAATAATAGCCACGATCAACTTAGTGGATCGTGATATGCTGGGAGGGATTCTCTTATCGCATTGATGTTGCCCGTCGTGCAGGTGGTGGCCACATCGAACACTTTTAAGACACGAAATAAAATTTGATTGTGAGTAGAATACTTGTGACTTGCCTGGAGTTTTCTCTTGCATTTTCTTTATTAAAATATTGCGTAATGAAATCGGTTCATTCTTTTTTAATAACTCTGTATTTATATGAAAATATACCACGTTAATTTTTTGGGCATTTCGACGTGTTGCAATGGTTGACAAGCTTGTCTCACTGGATCAATTACGACTGAGCAATCAGTTTGATATTCACTGGGTACCCCATACATTCGGCCTTGTGTCACGTATCAGCGACACTTAGAAAATCATTTCGGCACTTCGACGTAGTGTAATGGTTAGCAAGCTTGTCTCGCTAGAACAGTTACGACCGAGTAGTGTGTTCGATCCCCACTAGGTGCCACATACTTTCAGCCTTGTGTCACATATAAGCTACGCTTGGAAAATCATTTGGGCACATCGACGTGGCGTAATGGTTAGCATTATAAATGCTACGCTTGGAAAATCACTACTACGTTAATCTCTTTATAATAGTAGGACGTCTGCTTTCCGGCCATGTGACCTATGGTCGAGTTGTCAGGAAGATGAGTCCCCTTATACTATACCACGGGTTGAACTAAACATTGTGAATCAAACTGGGTAGCCGGAAGTATTTGGGAGCAATCGATGCCTGTGATAGCAGGAAGTTACAAGATGAGGTTTTTGTGTATCCCTTGTATCATTTATTACAGGTGATAAGGTAAGTTTCTCCTGGTATATAAATTTTATATGCAATCTCGACTCTCCTGTACGGCCGTGAGATCTGGTTACTCTACCAAAAGATATCTACGAACTTAAAAGATTCTTTCAAATCCCGCAGAACATGTGGCAGTACAGGATCACAAATAACAACGTTCTCCTCTGCGAAACCACCATGATTAACCACCGACTTCAATGAGCCGGACACCTTGCCCGAATGTCAGACACCCGCCTACTCTTCTCAGAGCACACATATGGCAAGGGACTACGTGAAGCCCCACATCGTCGATTTAAGGATTAGCTCAAAAAGACCTGGGAGACGGAAACTGCAGAAAGAATCAATTGGAGAAGAGAAGTCCACGAAAAAAAAAATCTTTGGAAAAACACCAGAATACAAATAAAAGAGAGAAAAAGAGTCCAAAGAAAAGTCAGAGTTCCCTATCTCCTGAAGCTTCCTACCCTACCATGTGATGGCGGCGGATGTGTATTTAGATCCAAGATAGGTAGGACTGCAAGTACATCGTAAGGCGGTAACACGAGGGAAAACATAAAAATCAGTCGTAACTGACCACATATGGAGGGAAAATGAAGATCACCGGCCGCTGTTGGATGAAGTTGAAATAATAGACAGAGGACATCACTGGAAAATACTAAAACTTAAGGAATCAACAAAATTTATGTTAGGCAACAAAAATCTTCTGAGCCGACCAAGCATAGAAATGAATTCAATATGAGAACCATTAATAAGGAGTGCTAGAGAAAAGCAATGAATGACAAGACAAAAATTACAATATAAGCTCTGGTAAAAAAATGTGCGAATAATAATAACGGAAAAATCATAATATGAGCACTGTTAAGAAAACGGTTGCTGAAATATTAGGTTAATAGGTTCCAGAAATTCATACACAAATGTCCTCAAGGACACATGGCCTAGTGGATAAAAACGTTGGATAGATCCAGTGACTAGACTCAAATAGTTGTGAGTTCAATACCAGTCTATCAAAAACTAGGAGAGTTGAGTTAACGGGATATAACTGAGACATCCGGAAGAGACATAGTACGTGGAAGTAGAACAATCTAACACCCCCCCTCGAAACAAAGGGTTCGAAATTAAGGTTTCGGTTCGAAATTCCAACCACCAGAAGAAGACCGGAGCGTACAATGTGATGTGAATATGGCAATGAAGATGAGGATAACAGTCGGAATAACGTAAGTCATGTAAATAATCATCATACCTCATCTCAGAGAAATAAACGGATAACGTAGGACTCATTTCAAAAGAAGAAGTTGGTGTTTCAAATACAAACACATAGAGAAGATGTAGAATATTATGAAAATTTTCTAAACACATGAAATCTACGAAAATATCGCAAAGAGAAATGTGTATATTTCTCAACAGTAATTTTTATTGCTGAATGCAAAACTACATTGGATGGACATGATGGCTTCTACAGAAATTGGGTTCTTCAAAGAAATATTCAGCCAAATTAGAGGACAAAAGGGCAACAATAAAATCGATTATGTTGCCAGAATAACTGCAGATTATTCTATGTTCTTAGACAAGATCATTTTGGAATTATTGGGGTCAAATCTAAAAATCGCAAAAATGAACTGCATACTTACACAAGACAATTCTCTTTCAGATTCTGCAAAGCTGCCTGTTGTCCACTTAGACAAGAAAAACATTTCAAGGAGAATCTAGAATAATTGTATAGCCTCCAGCTTCTCTAGGTATCAATTCAATCTGTGGCCAATCATTAAAAATGAAATGGAAAAAAAAAAGATATGCAGATAAATACTTATGGGAAACAAAAGAAAACTGAGGCAAATAATTTTAATGTTGAAAGTAGAACATTTAATAAATCAGTGAATAAAAGACTGGTGAAGGTTACAGGATTCAAGAAGCGCATGTGAAATAATAAAATGGTCAATTATTCCGGTATATAGTGTTAATTAAAAAGATAGATTGATTAATAGATAGATTGATTAATAGATAGATAGATAGATAGATAGATACGTAGATAAATATAAAAATGAAATAGACAATGAAGTGACTGTGATAGATAGATAGATATAAAAAATGAAACAGACAATTAAGTGACTGTGATAGATAGATAGATAGATAGATAGATAGATAGATAGAAAAATGACAGACAATGAAGTGACTGATAGATAGATAGATAGATAGATAGATAGATAGATATAAAAAAAAATGAAATAGACAATGAAGTAACTGAGATAGATAGATACATACATACATACATAGATACGTAGATAGATATAAAAATGAAATAGACAATGAAGTGACTGTGATAGATAGATAGATATAAAAAATGAAACAGACAATTAAGTGACTGTGATAGATAGATAGATAGATAGATAGATAGATAGATAGATAGAAAAATGACAGACAATGAAGTGACTGATAGATAGATAGATAGATAGATAGATAGATAGATAGATAGATAGATAGATATAAAAAAAATGAAATAGACAATGAAGTAACTGAGATAGATAGATAGATATGAATTTACAGAGATAAATTTACAGAGATAAAAAAGATATAAACAGATATTTATAAAACTGAATCTGCAAGTATCCAACCGGGAAGTGGCTAATTTTTGGTAAGGATCATATCCCTCTATAGGTGGTGCAAGCAGCGTATTATAAGCAACTACACCTGATTGCAGATAGATAGATAGATAGATAGATAGATAGATAGATAGATTGAGAACGAGAGAATTACATTTTAGTTTCGATGATGACAATAACACACCTCTCGACAAAGTCAAATCGGATAGAAATACTTTAACATTAATTAATGTTGCTCAATTAAATTCAAAGAATAAGCGAAACAAAATGCTAAACGAATTAAATCTTTTATCAATTTCGACAATGTGAATATTTACAGCGGTTGTTTGGATAACTAACATTATGCAGCGAATGCGCTAAGAAAAAGAAAAGAAAAGAAACTGAAACAAAACCATAATTAGAACGTTCGATGAAAAGACGTTTAATAAACAAACAATAAAGATAATGTAAATGTTAATGCAGTTCATATATTTATAAAAGAATTCCGCTTGAGAGCAAGCCTCGTTTTGAGAATATTTTCCTTGCTTTAATATTTGCGTTTGTATTAGACTTTTTATTTTTTTCATTGCATTCAAACACGTACATGCATACATATATTTATAACCCCATATATATATATATATATATATATATATATATATATATATATATATATATATATATATATATTTATATATGAATTTTTAACATTCTTTGAGAATATGCAAAAGTATGCAAGCATGCGAATTCAGCAAAAATAAAGGTGCGTATTTGCCTATATCTAAATCTACAGTATATGTACCTGTTTTGATAATGAATGGATCGGGAAAATCTGTATTTCATGAAAATGGTTTCCTCTGGGCGCGGTTTGTATCTGCCTCTCTCTCTCTCTACTTTCCTATCGTTTTTGTAAAGATCACAATATCTGTAGTAACTGCCCATGCGCAGTTTAGTATTGACTTAAAGTCAAATGCACGATGTATCCCATGATGGTCGAAGTCAGTGTTCAGTAGTAAATAAAACAATGACATTTCCTGAATATTTCACCGCAAGGTGACGCTTTCTTCACAGCCGAACTAGCACCTGTATGTAAATGCATTATATATATATATATATATATATATATATATATATATATATAAGACATTTTATGTTTATGTATTCTTTTTAAAGATACAAATATATAAGTAAATGCTCTGTTTATAATAAACAGTATTAAACAAATATATTAAATATTTGTATCTATAAAAGAATGTATAAACATAAAAATACCTCTTAAAAATAAAAACATCTGAACTCTTTGTCCATTTCATTATATATATATATATATATATATATATATATATATATATATATGTATATAAAGAGAGAAAGAGAGAGAGTATCAAAATACTCTTACAAACTTTAAGGGCGTGTTCCTCACAACAAGGACAAAATCCATATGAACATTTGTCCGTAAATCTTTCGTTTTTTAGTTATTACGTTTAAAGAAAGTTTAAGGTAAATGGCGCTGTGTTGTCATTTAGAGTGAATGACTTAGTTTACATTTGTAGTTAGTCTGTTTTCAACGATTATCGTGTGTAGCAGAGAGTTAACTGAGAAGTGTTCCATTTAACAATGCCAGAATATTCATATCGTGAGCAGGCAGATATGATTTTTACATATGACCGCACGAATGGCAATGGACGCGAAGCTGCACGATTGTATCAGATTGCGTTTTCAGACCAAAGGCAGCCGAGTCATCCAACCTTTTCTGCTGTTTATCGTCGCGTTGCTGAGACAGGTTCCTGGGCACCACAAACTATGGTTCGAGGAAGACTGAGATCCGCTCGTACGCCTGACCACGAAAACACTCTATAAGCTGTCGGAGACGATCCAGGTGTCAGCACACATTAAGTGGCCCTAGCATTTCGAACATCTCATAGAACTGCAGGGAGGGTACTTCAAGAGCAGCTCCTGTATCCGTATCATTCGCAACGTGTGCAGGGTCTTTTGGGGGATTGTATCTTGGATTGTACATTTAACAGCCTCTATTTCTTAACTCAGAAACGAAGGGATTTCTAGACATATGTACATATGTAATTTTGTCCCTTCTTTTCGTCTGTAAAACCGCCCCCAAATTTTGGAAAAATATTTCTTGATACACCCTGTACACAAATATATATATATATATATATATATATATATATATATATATATATATTAATTATTTATTTAAAATATGATTCCAAATCGTTACATAACAGGTCTCATGTTTTCAAAACAAAAGGCGAAAATTTCAATATAATCCTTTAAATTAAATTGATTTGAAAGTAAAATGGCTCCGTTCCATCTTCAAGCGAAATATTTTGTTGGAATAACGTATATCTGAAATTTACTTGTTTTAAAATTGAAATCAAAATCCCCATGGTAACAGCTATGGTGAATTGTCTAAATTGGGTAGGCAGTGTAGGGTGTTTATAATAAGTAGCGGTATAGAGAATACTTTCAAGGTGTCAAGTTGGGGAAAGGTGGGGGTGTCAAAATGAAACGGAAGATGTATTGGCCATCGTCTAGTTTGCTTGTCTATGGAGATTTATTTATTTATTTTATTTTATTTTATTATGAAAGGGAATTGTGCATATAAAAAAAAAAAAAATTCGTAACGTTTGTTTTTGACGACTTCATAAAGGGTTATCTTATATGTGGTATTTAAACTACTAATTTAGGCTATGGATTATGAAGTGTGTTATGTAGTATGCATGTTTGTAGTTAATTATTCCTACTATGGATCTGATGATTGGGCTATTTGTTAAACAAGTTATATGAATTTTTTTTTTTTTTTATCTAATAATTCAAACCAAAAATCTGATGATGCCTACAAAAAACCGTTAATATATATATATATATATGGCTAGATGTAATCGTAAGTTCTATGGTAACAATTTCTTCTCTTGCCCGTTTCACTTGTGGAAATCTCTTTCGGTTTATTGCTTTTCGGTTGACTTTGATCTTTAAAAATCTATCTTTTTCTTTTTTATCTTTTCTCTTTGTTTGGCACGATTATGGTTGCAGAGGGATTCTTGAAGGCTTCTTGTAGAAACTGTATTTTTTGAGTAAATTCCTGTTCAAAGAACTAGCCACAAACGATCAGATCTCTTCTGTAATATAACACAGGAGGGAAAAACTTCCCACGAAAAAAGTTTCACAGTTTCTTGTCTCGTTGATATAGGACGCAGACGTGTCCGAAAATTCCAATTTTTAACATCATTTCTCCATCTTCCATCTTGTCAAAAGGTTTGATAATATACAAATATTAGTTTTATTCATAATATTATTATTTTTCTTATATTTTTATCTCTCGAATTTATTTCATCATTTATTTTATCTATATACCATAAGAAGCATGCGTGGGTTATTCTTTTACTACACACGCGCGTACGCACACACATTTATATATATATATATATATATATATATATATATATATATATATATATATATATATATAATATTTTTTTATAAAAATTACAACATAAGTATGTTATAAAATCCCTACAAAAATAGCCATTTTGTTTCAACACTCTGTGTCTTATCAAGTGATGATGTTAAAAGAAAATAAATGGTTTTAAAAGTTTTCAGATTAATTAGCGATCCTACACTAGGGGAAACATTGTTACAAAAGCTAGAATAACCAATCAAAAACGAAGTATAGAAAGATTCAAAAGCTTGACAACGAAATCCTGCTCTAATAGCTATTCAGATCTTTAAATACGTGTAATATCAAAAAATAATTTATACTAACTAATAATTATAAATTTATATGATAAAATTTAATATTAAAATTAAAAACTGGCAATTTTAAAAAAATAAATTTAATCACTATTAAGTTTAAAACTACAAAATTATTGAGAAAAAAAAAAAAATATATATGTTTATTCAATTCATTTCTTCATTGAAATTACGTTCGACAAGACAATACGCTACAATTCGTCCGGTCATTTGATAATACATGTATATATTTTTTCTTTTCCCCCTTTCTTTTTTTTTTTTTTTAAAGTTTGTGAATATGGTCTTAAACTCACGCGTGACACAACAAAAATACAATCAGATTATAATACATAAGCATCCAGACATTATTAGATACACACACACACACAAACATACACACACACACAAAAAAAAAAAAAAAAAAAAGGAAGAGGGGGGAATACATGAACATCTCTACAGCCCTTTATGAGAAAAAAGGAGACGTGGAAACTAACACTTATACACACACACAGATAAATGTGAATACACTCTACATACACATAGACACCGATATATACATACATACATCCACAGACAATGGCATAGACATTGAGAAATCACAACCAGTAAATATTTCAGACTTAAATAAATGCTAACCACTTATTGAATTATAACTTAAGAACAAATATACAAAGATAAAATGTTTAAAATAATATTATTTAATATATTAAAACGAAAATTCTAAAACCATAAATATCAATAAAAATATATATATTATTAATCATATAAGTTGATAATAGTTTCATTATATATTTGGCAAAAAAAAAACAGGATAAAGAAATCCACAAATATATACATATATATATATATACACGGCAGCAAAACAAATTAACACACATAAATATAAATATATATTACATATACATACACACAGAAATACATACAAATAAATATATAAACATATATACGTACATATACATATCTATGATAACAAGTACATATGTACGCACATATACATATAAACCTAAATACACACACATATATATATATACACATAGACTTTATGCACACATACTTAGATATATATATAAAAAAAAAAAAGTCATGATATACCAAAGTTTCCATACCCACATACACATAAACAAACTCATACATAATAGGTGCCAACACACACATATATATATATACATACAAAACATACATAAATATATATACACACATACATACATATCTACAAATAAACATATAAAGATAAATAAATATATCTATCTACAATAACAACTACCCATATATACATGCATACATAAAAAAAATACAACAACATTCAACCAAATACATATAAACGAACAAACATATAGATACATAAATATACCTTCAAACACCAACACACAGCAATATACATATAGTCTAACATACAAATATATAAACACATTCATACAAACAGAAATATACTTAAATATAAATACACATACACAATAAAATAGGACATACAGATATATATATATATATACATATACATATATATATATATATATACATACACACATACACATACATATATATATATATACAAATATATCGTGGCACAAAGCCGAAATTAGGGGCACCCAGTGAGAACGAACTCATTCCTCAGTCGCACCTAATCTAGCGTACCATGCTGGCCAACCATTATACTGCCGTGATTTTATCATACATATACATGTACATACTCATACATATATACATACACACACATACATACATATACACACATACATACATATATATATGCATATATATATATATATATCCAACCACATACACACACATACATATATATGCACACACATACACATATACAGCAACAATTATTAACTTTTTCTCTTATAATTCTTGTTTCACCTTCCCACATAATATATATATATCACACACACTCACATATATATACATACACACCCACATACACACACACACACAAATAAAAAAAAAACCATAAATACATTTATACACCAACCTACACATTCCTCAGTGCAAATACTCTAACCAACACATAAATAAATATATATATACATTTACACCAACACTAATAACACTATGCAGGTAAACAATACACACTTTTATCGTAAGTATGACCATCATGCAATAAAAAATACTAATCTATTAAAAAATACAGCGACATATCATTATCATTTAAAGTATACGACCCCTACACTAAGTTAAATTTATAACGGTGTTTACAATTTACTGTAAGTTCATATCTTTTGATTTAAGAGATCAGCCTTGTTTTTAAATCTAATAATTTCAAATTTTTCATTAAGGCATAGGTAACATGGGGTATATAGGAGTTACATGTACGGGCTTTCTTAACCAAACTCCATTTAATCGTAGGTGTTTTGTTCTTATCTTTTAGATTCCAAAAATACTTGGATAATGAAGTCATGTACCTATATTCACTGTGATTAAAAGGATTGCATACGCCCCCGCCAGCGTTCCTTGAATGTTTTTCATAGTAGAACCAATGTAAAACTTTTTTTTTTATATTTGGATTTTCAATTGTTGAAATAGTACCAAGATAGACTACAGAAGTAATCCCTCAGTTATTTTGTAGTGGACAACTATTCAGTTCCTACAATTACATAAGTTGTTATTTGTATTCTTATAATTAGTATTGCAGTTAGTAACCTGTTGATTAGTCAAGCCTTTTGAACTCCTATACTTGTTAAAGACTATGTTGTTATGTTTTTAATTATCTGCTCTAGGTTATCAGCACAACTATAGCTTAATTTAAGGGTATTAGGATTAAATATTTTTTACTAAGGATGAGTTAAATAAATATATATATATATATATATATATATATATATATATATATATATATATATATATATATTTATACTAGGTAAAGAAGAGATAGAGGCAAGGACATAATACATCTGCCAACAAACAAAAACATTTTTTTAAATAAAGTTTTGGTAAATCAATTGATACAAATCGCCTGATAGTAACGAAAGTTTGAAACCAAAGTAGCGGAATCGACTCATCTCCTAATTTTTTTTATATATATATATATATATATATATATATATATATATATATATATATATATATATATATATGTGTGTGTGTGTGTGTGTGTGTGTGTGTGTGTGTGGTTTTATTTGTGAAAAGGTACACTTTGGTTAAAAGATTGGTTTCCTGAATCGAACCTCTATTCTCTTTTCAATATGGGAAAATAAACTTCAGACCAGACGTGTTTTTGCTATTATGCCTTCACCTGAAAATCGGTTTCCCAATTGAAATAGGCCTTCATGGCCAAGTTGGTTAAGGCGTACCAGGCTTAACGTTGTTTCCTATGCCCTACGAGAAGCAGGTTTAAATTCTGCCGGTGAGTCCATTTTTTTTCTTTTATAAGATCTTTCAAACATTCAGGCCGGCAGACGAAAATAAATGAATATTTTGTTTAATAAATAAACGGACCGTCTGCTCAAATAGTATTATCCACTAAATACAATGTTTAAAGTGATAAGAAATTGTTGGATTCTAAAATTCTCTTTGTGTTCGGCTACTGTGCAGATATGAAAAATTTCTATGACGGAAAAGTTTCGCTTGAAGGCAATAAATTTGCTCACGTCTGACTGACTGCTCTTCGTGTTCAAGTTGGTTAAGGCGTACCACGCTTAGCGCTAGCTTTCTCTGCCCTGGGGGATGTAGGTTCAACTCCTACCGGAGAGTGCTAGTTTGTATTAGGTTGGTGTAAAAATAATGACGTAATAATGTCATTTTTTAACGTCAAAAAACGACATTATTACGTCATTATTTTTGCACCAAACTAATACTTAATAAAAGTTATTGAACATTCAGGCCGGTAGATGGTAATAAATAAATATACTGTTTAGTAAATAAACGGAACCTTTACTAGATGTGTGGGTATAGCGTGATCCAGCGAGATATGAAATAAATCAGGCATGTTGAGAAAGATCAAAGCATCGATCAGTGTATATTCCGACGTGTGTGGGGCACCTCTAGGCGGTGTAATGGTTAGCAAGCTTGTCTCGCTAGAACAATTACGATTATAGTAGTGAGTTCGATCCTCATTGAGTACCTTCGGCCTTGTGCCACATCTAAGCTACGCTCTAAAAATCACTACTCCGATGATATATATATATATATATATATATATATATATGAATGAGTTTCAACACTGATGTTTTATCTTTCTCAACATGCCTGTTTATTCTTATCTTGCTGAATCACACTTTCAATCTGTCTCCCATAAATTTCAGGTTTTAAATCTCATCAAAGTCACATGTTAACACACACACACACACACATATATATATATATATATATATATATATATATATATATATATATATATATATATATATATATACAGAGAAAGAGGGGGAGAGAGAGAAAAAAAGAAAGATAGATATGTAAGACAATTTGGAAGCACTTTTACTTCAATATGTGTCTACGATGGATGGTTGTTATCACAAAAATAATTTAATTTCAGATTTTCTCACGAATTCCGATTATCGACGAAAAATATAAAAGGACGTCTTTCCGAAATTTTCATTCATAGTTACCATTCCTTATGATTCTCATCCAACATTACTGAAATACATTGAAATGAATACAGATAGATAGATAGATAGATAGATAGATAGATATGAATAGATTGAGATTAAAAATTATTTTTCAATAGATAGATAGAAATAAATAGATTGAGATTAGAAGTTATTTTTCGATAGATAGATAGATAGATAGATACATACATACATACATACATACATAGTAAAAAAATATAGCTAAAGTCAGTGAAAAACTTAAACTAGATAAACTTGAAGATATATAGACATGGAGACACTGGCTTTAGAGATAGATAGATAGATAGATAGATAGATAGATAGATAGATAGATAGGATGAAATAGGACTAGATAAATATGAGCATAGATAGATACATAAACACGAATAGACTGAATTAGACATATAATCAACAGAATGATATATATATACATATATATATATATATATATATAAAGATAGATATGTTTGTTGCTGTATAATCCCATGTAATGCGTGCAGTGTTATATGAGTTCCTTCACATATATGTGTACTTGTATGTCTTCTTACATACGCCGCCGTTCTTACAAATGCACTCGTGTTTTGCCGATTAAGCGCGCATGCGCTGAATCATCTTTGTTCGTGTCGGAATGTACGTTGGTACAGCTTCGTCTAAAGCTCACCCCTTTTTTACCTTCTGTTTTTCTCTTTCACTTTTGCTCTCGTGAGTGCGTGAAAGACAGAGGCCGGGCAATTAGAGGAACTACATTAGTCAAATGGTTGCCAGGCAAAAACGTTCAATTAAATGGAAACAATCAAAGATCCTTTAATTTTAAAACAATGCGAACGAATTCCTAAGTATGGAAACACGTCAGAGATGGCCGCCAGCTATTTGTCGAAGGCGAGCACAAGTGTTTGCACAAGATGTAAAAACTGTTTAAAAATATTCATTTGATGTTGAATTGCAGACTTTAAACACAGGGGCGCGCAATACCTTTACATATGACGGCTCCTGTCAACATAGACTGCTCAAGAAAATATATTTCTTTTCGTGTTCCTGATATTCAGTCAGATCTTTATCAGTATGTACTTCGGATAATACCCTTGGGATAGGAGTGAATCCATCTCTTCTCTCTATAGAGAAGGGCAGATAAGAGCCTAGTTTCGACTCTCGAGGCTTGAGTGACAGTCTAGATAACTCCGAATTTATGATCATCGAGAAGGCAAAGAGAAAACACTTCGGATATCTCTCCAAAGAATGCATAGCATTTCACAAGTATTAAGAAAAAGAGAATGTGGAGAGACATTTACACGAATAAGATATAAGTGATATCTCATAAAGTCATCATAGTGAAAAGAACGATTTGCATAATACAATCTGATGTAGTGCAGAAACAATAAAATAAACATATATATATATATATATATATATATATATATATATATATATATACAGTCACTCTCTCACAGACGCGCCGTCGCCTCTCTCTGTCTTTTCTACAAATACTCTCATGGTAATTGCTCCGATGAGCTGCTTTCACTGGTTCCCAGACTCCATGAATTCAAGCGCCCTACGAGGCTGGCATCCTGCTCCCACCCTTACACTGTAGAAACTTTTAAATGTAGCCGTCTCTTCTACTCCAATAGCTTCATACCTCGTACCTCTCGCCTGTGGAACACCCTTCCCAATTACTGTTTCCCTGAGAGCTATAATCTCCAACTATTCATATGTAATGTCAATCGACATCTCCAGTTACCTTGATCTACCCACTATCCTTCTCATCCTTTCTTCTATCTCTCCTATCTGCTCTCGCTCCAAATCTTCTGCAACCCCCTGCATCCTAGTGGCTTTACGCCTTGATCAGGGCGTAATGCTTATATATATATATATATATATATATATATATATATATATATATATATATATATATGTTTATTTTTATTAGAGTTTGTCTGGTGATCGCAAAAGTGTGAAACCCAGGGTTACAAACTAATATCCATACAACTGGATATATATATATCTGTCACTCGTAGAGAGTACTGTTTCGCTTTTCAGTACGACTAGACATCCGAATGGCTAAGTGTTGAAACTTGACTAATGCATGGAATAATAATGCAACACAAAATGTACTTAGAACAAAATGTATTGAAACAAGAAAATGTACACAATATTTACATATAGTCTTTTGTATATTCCTGGTAAGACCGTTCCCGGAGAATGTGTTGACTGAGTCGCAGTCGGGAAGAGTCTCTGGTTGAATCTCTTGATTCCTGTCTTCCCGGTACCAACCATATTTATATGGTCGGTACTCCACTATGCAAATTAGGTGGATCCTACCACAACACTAAACCAGGATCCGGACCCAACCAATTTGGTGTTAGTCATAGGTTCATTCGGCAGAGTGAAACAGCTAAATCAAGCGTATTGTTTTTACGTATGTAAATAAATTCAAATCAGCCGTAGTTATCAAGGACACATGGCACAGTGGATAGTTAGATCAAGTGACAGGACCCAAAGAGTGTGAGTTCAATACCCGGTTAAGGCAGTGTAGAACTTTCAGAGGGAAGTTAGCAGGAGATAACTGATAACTGTCATCCATTAAAACATGGCACGTGGAACTAGAACAGTCTACCCCAGTGAGCGAAATAAAGCTTTCCGTTCGACATTCCAACTACCTGAAGAAGGCCGGAGCGTACAACGGCCGAAACGTTATAATAAATATGGCGACAAAGATGAGGACAATCGTCCGAATGATGTAAATAGTGTACACAGTACCTCATCTCAGAAAAATAGACAGAATAAATTTTAATTATAAAAATACCAGCAATGCATTTTGATGTAAAAAAGACCGACAATAAAAAAAACAATACATTTCATCTGTAGTTGAAGGCAAATATATAATTCGTTGAAACCATAAAACAGTGTTCAAATTATATACATTTCGAAATTAAATAACCCATATATGTGTTCAGATGCCGCTAAACAAAATCAACCACCTATATTGTATCCAAGAATAAACATCGGAATAAATCTTCTCTTATTACTCACTAGCAACATGGCCCGGCGTTGCCCGTGCTTGATTCAAAAATCGTACGACTCATACAGAAATCGCTATCACTTAATATATTTTTGCCCTTCCGTTGAGCGAATGAGCCAATTGGAGTAAAGTGCCATGCAGATTTAAATTTGTCCCACTTGTGACGAATGCAGCTATCGATTTTTTTTTTTGCATGCTAGCATGCTAGTTAACATTCGTGTCAGTCAGCTGTTGGCTCTCACTCTGGCCAGTAGAAAATGGCCACAAACTACATGAAAACTGCCGTAGAAGCATGAAAAAATCGATTATTCCACTATCGATGGGAGTTGGGAAATGCAATGTCGGTCTTGGCCTTTCCACTAACTTGGAGCATGTGCATGTAAATTTTGGTGCAAATCCGTCGACGATTGCGGCCGTGCATTCGTTACACACACACACACACACACACACACACACACACATCCTGACTTTTATAGATAGTGATTACAATGTTTCTGTTTCTTATTCCTCTGCACCCCTTTAACCACTTGCGTCTTAGTGGCTATACTACCTTATTTGGGGTGATAATGATTAGAAAAATGCAAAAAAATCGGTAATAAAAAAAAAAAAAATGAATAAACAAGATGTTGATGTTCCACACTACTTCGAGCGAAATGTATGTATGGAATCTCCTCATCAGTACCGGAAAGTGTGATAATAGAGAACTTGAGAAATCCATTTTCTTGAAAAATACTGGTAGCACTTGCATCTCGGTCAGTGAATGCCAAATGCTTCCACACAATGAAACATCTAATACTATTAGATACTATATATAATACTATATTAACAATATAGCGTAAAGAAAGTGTTAATACTGATGTTAACAATATACTTTATCTTACTTATTATAAGAAGCAGATTATGTGTGTGTGTGTCTGTAACGTTTATATATTGGATCGGATTTCCTACATTTTTCAACCGATTTCAACAAAACTTCACAGGACTACATAAAATTACCTTGTGGTGGTTCTAACAGCGCCAAAAATAGGAAAAATATAATTGTTTTTACACAAAATCAGTTTGAAAACACGATTAAGAGACATCGGGAAAATGGAAGGGGGACAACTCACATCGGTTTGTGTGTGGGGGTTACTTTAAATATGGGAGCGGATTTCTTATATTTTTCAGCCGATAAAACAAAACTTCACTTTTGTTGGCATGTAGTGTTTCTTATTGTCTTGCACACTTTTTTCTTTATTTCTACATTCAGAATGCTTTAAAAATTCCATTTACAAGACAATTATTTATAATAAAATTCTATTCAATCAGTAGACTCATAACGATTGAAAACAATGTTCTTGTTTGAGTTTGGGTTTGACCAATTCGTAAAAAACTAAAAAAAAAACTAATTAAGACATGCGTGTCCGTCAACCTTAAACAATAATCTAACGATCTCTACTGATTGCACGAATACAAACATCGGAATAAATTCTTTATCTTTAGGGAAAGATAATGAAATCTAAACATACACAAGTCCTAACTAAAAATAATAACCGGAACGGGAAACTACTTTAAATACATGGTGTCCAATTTTTTTTTACTGTATTCAATAAGTAAAAATCATAAATTGTAAAAAGATTATTATTACAGAAAGGCTACTAAATGAATAAGATTTGTTAGATCATAATTAATAAACCCAAGTAAAGTTAATATTTTTTGTATTAGAAACAACGAGTGGGAAATATATTCAAATCAGAATTCTAATTATGAATCACCACAAGCAAAATATGCAATTTTTTTACTGTATTCAATAAAGTAAAAATCATAAATTGTAAAACTAAAAGATTACAGAAAGGCTACCTACATTTTCAAACGATTTCAACAAAACTTCACTTTTTTTTTTGCATGTAGTGTTTCTTATTGTCTTGCACACTTTTTTTTTATTTTTACATTCAGAATGCTTTAAAAAAATCCATTTACAAGACAATTGTCTATAATAAAATTCTATTCAATCGGTAGAGACTCATAACGATTGAAAAACAATGTTTTGTTTGAGTTTGGGTTTGACCAATTCTTAAAAAAAAAAAAAAAAACTATTTAAGACATGCGTGTCCGGCAACCTTAAACAATAATCTTTGTCAATTTTATTTTTCAGTCTTTATGATGGTGGATACTTGATCTATCTCTTACTGTTACATCCCCGGGCAACGCCGGACTCTACTGCTAGTTAGTAATATAGCGTAAAGAAACAATCTGATGCCCACAACATCGTGAAAAAAACATGTGACGACCAAGACTCATAACAGTCAGTACCACGAGTACCCTACAGAATAACAATTACTCTGCAAGCATAACTTCACCTCGAGGAAGGAGAATAGTTAAACTAACATATCTTGTCTCTATCACGTCGGAAAGGATTTAGATCTGCGGTCCATCTGCGGGACAATATCCAAAAGAAATTTACCGTTACGGAAAAATAATAAAAATACTAGCTTTTAGATTCCGGCATTAAATGAGCCATGGGTATTGATATGCCGCCAAACCAATTCAACCATCATTGGTTGACTTTGTTTAGCGGTATATCAACCTCTATAGGTTATTTAATGTCGGAATCTAAATACTTTTAACGCTTCGACTAAATATATGCTATAAACAGGTCTTTGTATTTTTTTTTTATATAAACATATGTTAAGACATTTTTTTATGTTTATACGTTCTTTTATAGATACAAATATTTAAGTAAATGCTCTGTTTATAATAAACCGTATTAACGACATTTACCGGTCTGAATGTCCGAGAATTTGTCATAGAAAATACGCGTCCTCCGACAGAAATCGAACCTGTAACCTATACGGAAACGTCATATAGCCTGACATTTTTTTACCGATTGAGGACGACAGAGGAGCGTTTCGGTTAGCAAGGTTGATTTTACTGTTTTTAAACTACAATTCTCCATGATTTTCTCTCGTACATTCATATCTGCTCCATGCGTATCCAAATGTAAACAAATGACGTCACACATTATGAAATGGACATTTACCGGCATGACTGTCCGAGAAATTTTCGGAGGACGCATATATTCTATGAAAATTTTTCGTATATTCAGGCCGGTAAATGTGGTTAATACTGTTCATTATAAATAGACCATTTACTTAAATATTTGTATCTATAAACAGAACATATAAAAATTAAAAAAAAAATGTCTTAAAATAATTGTAGGACTTTGTCCATTTCATAACCATATGTAATTATATATTTCCATAATGTTTTGTTTTTGTTTTGGGGATCAGTATTGGCTCATATCTGGGATATTAACAGGTACTACCACCACGGGTTAGAGTGTACCTTGGAAAAACAGCAATTAAAAGAGGGTTCCACACTCCTGCTCCCGGATGTAGTTCATCGTCATACTCAGGATTTGAAGTGTAAGTATAAATAATAATAATAATAAAAATAATAATAATAATAATAATAATAAGAAGAAGAAGAAGAAGAACAACAACAACAACAACAACATAAAATAATAATAATAATAATAATGAGAAGAAAAACAACAACATAATAATAAAAACAACAACAACGACACCAACATAATAATAATAAGAAGAACAACAGTACCAACATAATAAAAATAAGAACGACAACACCAACATAATAATAACAATAATAATAAGAAGAAGAAGTAGAAGAACAACAACAACACCAACATAAAAATAAAATAATAATAATAATAATAATGAGATGAAAAACAACAACAACATAATAATAAGAAGAACACCAACGACACCAACATAATAAAAATAAGAACAACATCAACATAATAATAACAATAATAATAATAAGAAGAAGAAGAAGAAGAAGAACAGCAACAACAACAACAAAAATCAAGAACTGCAGCAACAACAACAAAAATATTTGTCGAAGTTGATGTTTATTTTGCATTGGATGATGGGCTAGTGAAAGCGACTTTGGAACAGCCGTGATCGGAGACATGTATCAGGACATCTTGCCATGTCGTGTACATTGGGCTATGATGCATGTTCCTGCTATAATTTTATCAAACTGGGAAGATACAAATAGAGAGAGACAGAGAGAGAGAGAGAAAAAGAAAGAGAGAGAGAGAGAAGAGAAGGGCGTGAACAAAGGAAAAGATCTCGAAAGAGATTAAGAAAGAGTGGCAAAGAGGAAAAAGACGTGAAGAAAGAAAAAGATCTCGAAAGAAGATACAATAGAGAGAGAGAGAGAGAGTGAGGAGGAAGGGCATGAAAAAAGGAAAGAATTCAAAAGATAGTAAAATTAAGAGAGAGAGAGAAGGAGAGAGAGATATGGAAAAGGCATGAAGGAAAAGATCTGGAAAGAAGATACAAATTAAGAGAGGGAGTTATAGAGGGAGGGTGTAGAGAAAGGAAAAGATCTGGAAAAAAGATACAAATTATGAGAGGGAGTTATAGAGGGAGGGCGTGAAGAAAGGAAAAGATCTGGAAAGAAGATACAAATTATGAGGGGGAGTTATAGAGGGAGGGCGTGAAGAAATGAAAAGATCTGGAAAGAAGATACAAATTAAGAGAGGGAGTTATAAAGGGAGGGCGTGAAAAAATGAAAAGATCTGGAAAGAAGATACAAATTAAGAGAGGGAGTTATCGAGGGTGGGTGTGAAGAAATGAAAAGATCTGGAAAGAAGATACAAATTAAGAGAGGGAGTTATAGAGGGAGGGTGTGAAGCATGGTAAAGATCTGGAAAGAAGATACAAATTAAGAGAGGGAGTTATCGAGGGAGGGTGTGAAGAAATGAAAAGATCTGGAAAGAAGATACAAATTAAGAGAGGGAGTTATCGAGGGAGGGTGTGAAGAAAGGAAAAGATCTGGAAAGAAGATACAAATTAAGAGAGGGAGTTATAGAGGGAGGGCGTGAAGAAATGAAAAGATCTGGAAAGAAGATACAAATTAAGAGAGAGAGTTATCGATGGAGGGTGTGAAGAAATGAAAAGATCTGGAAAGAAGATACAAATTATGAGAGGGAGTTATCGAGGGAGGGTGTGAAGAAATGAAAAGATCTGGAAAGAAGATACAAATTAAGAGAGGGAGTTATCGAGGGAGGGTGTGAAGAAATGAAAAGATCTGGAAAGAAGATACAAATTATGAGAGGGAGTTATAAAGGGAGGGCGTGAAGCATGGAAAAGTTCTGGAAAGAAGATACAAATTATGAGAGGTAGTTATCGAGGGAGGGCGTGAAGAAATGAAAAGATCTGGAAAGAAGATACAAATTAAGAGAGGGAGTTATAGAGGGAGGGCGTGAAGAAATGAAAAGATCTGGAATGAAGGTAAAAATTAAGAGAGGGAGTTATCGAGGGAGGTCGTGAAGAAATGAAAAGATCTGGAAAGAAGATACAAATTATGAGAGGAGTTATAAGGGGAGGTGAGCATGGAAAAGTTCTGGAAAGAAGATAAAAATTAAATTAAGAGAGGGAGTTATAGAGGGAGGGCGTGAAGAAATGAAAAGATCTGGAAAGAAGATACAAATTAAGAGAGGGAGTTATAGAGGGAGGGCGTGAAGAAATGAAAAGATCTGGAAAGAAGATACAAATTATGAGAGGGAGTTATGGAGGGAGGGCGTGAAGAAATGAAAAGATCTGGAAAGAAGATACAAATTAAAAGAGGGAGTTATAGAGGGAGGGCGTGAAGAAATGAAAAGATCTGGAAAGAAGATACAAATTAAGAGAGGGAGTTATAGAGGGAGGGCGTGAAGCATGGAAAAGTTCTGGAAAGAAGATACAAATTAAGAGAGGGAGTTATAGGGGAGGGCGTGAAATGAAAAGATCTGGAAAAAGATCTGGAAAGAAGGGTGTGATAAAAAAGATTAAAGAAGATACAAATTATCGAGGGAGGGGAGGGCGTGAAGAAAGGAAAAAGATCTGGAAAGAAGATACAAATTAAGAGAGAGAGTTATCGAGGGAGGGTGTGAAGAAATGAAAAGATCTGGAAAGAAGATACAAATTAAGAGAGGGAGTTATCGAGAGGGAGGTGTGAAGAAATGGAAAAGATCTGGAAAGAAGATACAAATTAAGAGAGGGAGTTATCGAGGGAGGGTGTGAAGAAATGAAAAGATCTGGAAAAAGATACAAATTATGAGAGGGAGTTATAAAGGTAGGGCGTGAAAGAAATGAAAAGTTCTGGAAAGAAGATACAAATTATGAGAGGGAGTTATCGAGGGAGGGCGTGAAGAAATGAAAAGATCTGGAAAAGATACAAATTATGAGAGGGAGTTATAGAGAGGGCGTGAAAAATTAAAGAAGATAAAATAGAGAGAGTTATCGAGGAGGGTGTGAAAGAATGAAAAAAGATGAAAAAGATAAAATTAAAGAGGAGATAGAGGAAAATTAAAAGATCTGGAAAGAGATACAAATTAAGAGAGAGATATGGAAGGGTGTGAAGAAAAAGGAAGATCTGGAAAGAAGATACAAATTAAGAGAGGAGTTATAGAGGGAGGGTGTGAAAAGGAAAAGATCTGGAAAGAAGATACAAATTATGAGAGGGAGTTATAGAGGGAGGGCGTGAAGAAAGGAAAAGATCTGGAAAGAAGATACAAATTAGAGAGGGAGTTATAGAGGAGGGCGTGAAGAAAAATGAAAAGATCTGGAAAGAAGATAAAATTAAGAGAGGGTTATAAAGGGAGGGCGTGAAAAATGAAAAGATCTGGAAAAGAAAGATACAAATTAAGAGAGGGAGTTATCGAGGGAGGGTGTGAAGAAATGAAAAGATCTGGAAAGAAGATACAAATTAAGAGAGGGAGTTATCGAGGAGGGTGTGTGAAGCAAAGGAAAAAGATCTGGAAAGAAGATACAAATTAAGAGAGGGAGTTATCGAGGGAGGGCGTGAAGAATTGAAAAGATCTGGAAAGAAGATACAAATTAAGAGAGGGAGTTATCGAGGGGGTGTGAAGAAATGAAAAGATCTGGAAAGAAGATACAAATTAAGAGAGGGGAATTATCGAGGGAGGCGTGAAGAAATGAAAAAGATCTGGAAAGAAGATACAAATTAAGAGAGGGAGTTAAAAATGAGATCTGGAAAGAGGGGAGTTATGAAGGGAATGAAAAGATCTGGAAAAGAAGATACAAATTAAGAGAGGGGAGCGATGGAGGGAGGGTGAAGAAATGAAAAGATCTGGAAAGAAGATACAAATTAAGAGAGGGAGTTATCGAGGGAGGGCGTGGAAATGAAAAGATCTGGAAAGAAGATACAAATTAAGAGAGGGAGTTATCGAGGAGGGCGTGAAGAAATGAAAAGATCTGGAAAGAAGATACAAATTAAGAGAGGGAGTTATAAAGGAGGGCGTGAGAAATGAAAAGATCTGGAAAGAAGATAAAATTAAGAGAGGGAGTTATCGAGGGAGGGCGTGAAGAAATGAAAAGATCTGGAAAGAAGATACAAATTAAGAGAGGGAGTTATAGAGGGAGGTGTGAAGAAAATGAAAAGATCTGGAAAGAAGATACAAATTAAGAGAGGGAGTTATGGAGGGAGGGCGTGAAGAAATGAAAAGATCTGGAAAGAAGACAAATTAAGAGAGGGAGTTATAGAGGAGGGCGTGAAGAAAAGTGAAAAGATCTGGAAAGAAGATACAAATTAAGAGATGGAGTTATAGAGGGAGGGCGTGAAGAAATGAAAAGATCTGGAAAGAAGATACAAATTATGAGAGGGACTTATCGAGGGAGGGCGTGAAGAAATGAAAAGATCTGGAAAGAAGATACAAATTAAGAGAGGGAGTTATAGAGGGAGGGCGTGAAGAAATGAAAAAGATCTCTGGAAAGAAGATAAAAATTAAGAGAGGGGAGTTATCGAGGAGGTGTGAAGAAAGGAAAAAGATCTGGAAAGAAGATACAAATTAAGAGAGGAGTTATAGGAGGGAGGGCGTGAAGAAATGAAAAAGATCTGGAAAAGAAGAGACAAATTAAGAGAGGGAGTTATAGAGGGAGGGCGGAAGAAATGAAAAGATCTGGAAAGAAGATACAAATTAAAGAGGGAGTTATGAGGAGGTGAAGAAATGAAAAGATCTGGAAAGAAGATACAAATTAAGAGAGGGAGTTATAGAGGGAGGGCGTGAAGAAATGAAAAGATCTGGAAAGAAGATACAAATTAAGAGAGGGAGTTATAGAGGGAGGGTGTGAAGAAATGAAAAGATCTGGAAAGAAGATACAAATTAAGAGAGGGAGTTATAGAGGGAGGTGTGAAGAAATGAAAAGATCTGGAAAGAAGATACAAATTAAGGGAGGAGTTATCGAAATTAAAAGATCTGGAAGAAGATACAAATTAAGGGAGTTATAAAGGGAGGGCGTGAAGAAATGAAAAGATCTGGAAAGAAGATAAAAAATTAAGAGGGAGTTATCGAGGGAGGGCGTGAAGAAAGGAAAAGATCTGGAAAGAAGATACAAATTAAGAGAGGGAGTTATAGAGGGGGTGTGAAGAAATGAAAAGATCTGGAAAGAAGATACAAATTAAAGAGAGGGAGTTATCGAGGGAGGGTGTGAAGAAATGAAAAGATCTGGAAAGAAGATACAAATTAAAGAGGGAGTTATCGAGGGAGGGGTGTGAAGAAATGAAAAGATCTGGAAAAAAAGATACAAAGAGAGGGAGTTATAGAGGAGGGCGTGGAAAGAAAAGATCTGGAAAGAAGATACAAATTAAGAGAGGGAGTTATCGAGGGAGGGCGTGAAGAAATGAAAAGATCTGGAAAGAAGATACAAATTATGAGAGGGAGTTATCGAGGGAGGGTGTGAAGAAATGAAAAGATCTGGAAAGAAGATACAAATTAAGAGAGGGAGTTATAGAGGGAGGGCGTGAAGAAATGAAAAGATCTGGAAAGAAGATACAAATTAAGAGAGGGAGTTATCGAGGGAGGGCGTGAAGAAATGAAAAGATCTGGAAAGAAGATACAAATTAAGAGAGGGAGTTATCGAGGGAGGGTGTGAAGAAATGAAAAGATCTGGAAAGAAGATACAAATTAAGAGAGGGAGTTATAGAGGGAGGGTGTGAAGAAAGGAAAAGATCTGGAAAGAAGATACAAATTAAGAGAGGGAGTTATAAAGGAGGGGTGTGAAGAAATGAAAGATCTGGAAAGAAGATACAAATTAAGAGAGGGAGTTATCGAGGGAGGTGTGAAGAAATGAAAAAGATCTGGAAAGAAGATACAAATTAAGAGAGGGAGTTATAGAGGGAGGGTGGAAGAAATGAAAAGATCTGGAAAGAAGATACAAATTAAGAGAGGGAGTT